CCTTCAGGTTTTACAGTGAAAACTATGCACGCACTTCTCATCTCTCTGGTATGTGCTACATGCCCTACCCATTTCATCCTAATATCTGGCGAGTTCGCATTATGAGAATCCTCGTTATATAATATTCTCCACCCTTCTGTTACTCCGCCCCTCTCAAATCCAAATAGTCTCCTCAGCACCCATTCTCAAACCCTGTCCTTCTCTTAATGTGACAGACCAAGTTTCACAGCCATACAAACAGCAGTTGTAACTATAGTTTTGACATATTTTAATCCTCACTTTCTTCAGTCAGAAGACGAAAGATTCTGAAATGAATGACAACTGTTTAATCCATTTTTTAATGTCTTCGTGAGTTTGCTTTTTTAATTTGTTAGTGTCATTTCAACATATTTCAACTCTGCCACATTTTCAAAGGATCCATTAACTAACTTACTAGTTACACAGCTAACTTCACGGAGCTGAGCCCTTCTTGGAAGCCGGCAGCCACGCAGCTACTCAAGAATTTCCCAACATTTTATGGAACTCGAAAGTTCATTATGGCGTTCACAAGAGCCCTCCACTGGTCCCTATCGTGAGCCAGATTAATCCAGTACATACTACCAAATCCTATCACTCTAAGACCAATTTTAATATTATCCATTCACCTACTTCTTGGTCTTCCTAGTGTCCTCCTTCCGGCTTTTCCACCAACATCCTATATGTATTCCTCTTCTCTCATTCGTGCTACATGCCCTGCCAATCTAATCCTCCTTGACTTGATCATTCTAATTATACTGGCGAAGAGTACAAGTTATGAAGTTCCTCGTTATGCAGTTTTCTTCAACTTCCCGTCACTTCATACCTCTTTGGTTCCAAATATTCTCCTCATTCTATCATTTCATTGAAGCATTTTAGTCGCTATACTCATGAATTTGCATTCCTCTTCTGTCCTAACACTTGACAAGGATCTCAGGATTCAAACTTGTGGAACAAAAGCTGACTAGTTTTCCTACAGATGGCAGTCTACCAGCGTGATATACAAACAACGTAGTAGCAGCTCGGCTGTCGGAACTTGTTCATGTAGACACGTCCCTCGCATTGTGTACTGTATGTAAGGCTGGAGAATAGTTGCGGAATTTACAAACACAGAGAGGAGCTTTAAACCGAGCTGTGATAGGTACTGACAGTTAGTTGTGTAACAGTTAAACTCACTCAATAAGGAACATGTGAAAACAGAAAGTACGGACCTGTCCTGTCCAATGCACAGAAGCTATAAGAATCGCTCTAATTTCTACATGCTCACCATTACATAAACTTCCTACAGTGATCACCATTTCCTGGATTTGCTCATCTGAACTTATGCTCTCCCGCAGGAATTACAACTTTCAGAATCACACAGTTAGTTAATTCGTTCGACAGGCCGTGCCATAACTCAGGCGGTTAGTCGCACCGTGGCGGCCTGAGTTCGAGCCCTGGTCAGGTTATATGCGATTTGTCGTGAAAAAAGTGGTACTGGGACAGGTTTTCTCGGGGTACTTCGGCTTCCCCTGCCAATTCTCATTCCACCAACTGCTCCAAGCTCATCCTCTATCATCCGGGGCTGGTACAATAGGCAAAATAGTGGCAGGCATACCAAGTGGACTCAGTCTCATCCCACCCCAAAAAAGCTAAACCACAAAAATAACTAATTCGTTCGACGAACCCTTTCACCGGTGTACCCTGTCTTGATAGTGACTCAACTGGACCACGACAGTCTCCTTCCGAATCCGTGCCTAATCGGGGTCCCACCTAATATTATAGGCTAATCTGTTCGGTTGAACTAGCGTCAATAAATAATCGAAGCACGAATAGACATTTCAATCAAAAAGAGGGAGCATCGTGTAACATGGAATCAGCATGTTACTGTTAACACTTAATGCCATCATACAACTCGACAGGGCATACATTACAACGCAACACGTTCTTGCTGGAATTTGGAAATATTCACAATGGCCAATAAGATGACACCATACATTCGCACAAAACTGAGGTTCGAAAACCTCAAAGAACTTTCAAAACACATAAAATACAGTTTGAAGTAGTAACGTGTGAAGTTGGGGACCGGACTCAACTGACGTTCGTGCTGTCCTGCGCAGGCAGCGGCCTTGCGACCCCACGTTCAAGGAGTTCTACCAACTGTCTCTGAGATTCATAGTTTTCAGATTAATTCTGAACCGGGAACAAGCCGGAAGGTCTAATCCGTCAAATTATGATGATGATGATGAATGTGCTGACGGCATGACTGCGCTGACGTCACAGTCAGCTGTTGCCGCTTCGGCCAGCGAATGTCCCCCCCTCCAACCGATCACGTCATGGCAAGGTAAAAACGCAATTTTCCCTTCGTCCTTGATCAAATCACATAGCTCGGCGACTTGATGTCTAAAATAAAGGTTTCCTCAGCCACGTACCGACTGGGTCCACCAAGAGTTCTAGCCCTACGTCCACTCATTTCATTATATAGCCGTCTATTACTCAACTACATTAATATATATAT